ATCCGTTCCACTTTGCATTCTACGAAAATAAAGTCCTATAGCTCCTAATTTTTCGTATTCATATAATTTTTTTTCAAAAAAATTTTTTTGGTTAGCATTTGCTCTGTGAGTTTTTTTCAAAAAAGAGTAGATTTGACAGGTGCGTGATATTTGAGCGAAATTGTTTTTTTTCAAGCTGTTCCTTTGAATTTTTTAGATGTATATGGCAGATGTTCTTCTGGTGCTCGGAAATAGTGAAAGTTGAGGCATCAGAGAAATGAGCAAACTCAACTTGTCAAACTAGTCACCGTATTTGCTCTAATAGCAGCCCACCTGTATTTGAAGCCCACCTCTAATAGAAGCCCATGGGCTTCTATTAGAGAAAACCCGGAAATTCAGAACTCCAGAATTTTTGGAAATGTGATTTTAGACTCATTAATTTCTCAATTTCTGAATTTTCGAATTGTTAAATTTCAGAATTTCAGATTTTTAAAATTTTCAGATTTTTTTCCGGAATTCCTGAATTTTGAATTTTGAGATACTGGAATCTCAGAATTTCATAAATTCGGAATTTTTTTCAATTTCCAATTCTTCAAATTTATTTAAAATCAGGGCTTTTAGTCTACTTTTCGCACCATTTTTGGATGATTTGAAATCAGATATGATGACGATGATTTCTGAAGTCTTCGATCAGAAAATGTTTCGTTATTTTCTCCTTAAATCCACCCAGCTTGCCATTTCTCATTTCTCCAGTTATTCTAATAAATTGTCTCCCGCCCAAAATTTATAACCCATATAAGCAATAACCTCCTTCTTTGAATAGGCCGGGTTAAGCCGGGAAGACCGGAACAATTGACACTGATTAAGAAGCGACAAGCTGTTTGGTGCTCATGCGCATATGAAAAAGAGCAACAGCCGGGGACCCCCGAAGAGCAACATAATGTTCTCTTGGGGTGCCTAAAGAAAAGGCGTCAACCCGGGAATGTATATGCAAATCAAAAATCGTGTTATATGTGCAACTCTTTTCTTTTTTTTTCTTCGTTTGCTTCTTCTTTTTCTTGTTCAACTCTTCTCTCAACTTCCTATTCTCACATTTCCCCTCATTTTTTTCTATTCAGAGTGTATATGCTTTTCTTATTGCTTTGATATTTTTTTCAGAATGACCTCATCGTATTATGACGCTTCATAGAATATTCCTTAATTCTTGGACTTCATGAACAGCTTGTTGAGATTGCTAACATGCCAAAGAAAAATCTTTATTGTTCTATGTACGGAATCTACTATCCTCCATCGAAGTCACTAACTTATATCTCCAGTCTTCTTTTGTCTAGTCACTGACTTTGTTGATCCAGTTCATCAATCTCTTCTATTTATGTCGAACATTGAGTCCTGCCTCGTGCCTTTCGCCGATTCATTCAATTAAACCAGGTCCCCCACTCCAAGGACTCGTTCTTTGGCCATAGACATCATTATTTTTCGTGTGTAAGGTCCTTTCAATTCCTAGCTTTGGGTTCATTTCATTGGTGTTCGTATGATGGGCTTCTGGCTTATTGGTGTCGTTGTTTGAACCGACCGCATTGTAGAAATGGGTCTGAAAAACAGCATGGCACATTGTTGATCTCGAAAATTTTTGATGTTCTGCATTTTTATTGCTATATTTTGAATTTGGTAGCTGAAATTGCTAGAAGCTTCTGAAATGGGTATAAAAGTACCATATTTTGTCAGAAATAAGCGTTTTGGATCTGAATGTGTGTTCTTGAGAATGTTTTGATTTGAAAATCTTAAAGGCTCACCTATAGCACCGGCCTATAATAAATAAATAAATGTAATTTTCAGTCGATTTTCGTGATTTTCAGGAGTTCAGAGAATGTCAAGTTTCCCATCACGCTGAAAATTTTGGAAGGTTTAAAGAAAACCTAGATTGAACACTTTACGTTCGTTGAATATTTTGCAAATTCCTAGTTTTTCAGCTATTCGCAGTTTTCTGAAGGACATTTGTTTTTTTTTCCAAATTTTTAGCATGAAACGGACCAAAAAAATGTGTTTTACGAAAATTGTCGAATAGCTGAAAAAATATGAAGTTTCAAAAAGTCCTGTGAGTGCAAAATTTTCAATCTAGATCTGTTTTACACCTTCCAAAGTTTTCAAAATGATCACAAGCTTGACAGCCCAGCTCCAGACATCTGATAATGCCGAACACCAATGTAAAAATAGTTTTTTGTAGACCTTATTGACCGTTACTGTACGCTTTTTGGTGTCAGATAACCAAATCATCAAAATGAACTTTCTTTACCGTAACCATGGAGAGATATACTCAGAATCGATCCCAAGAACTCTAATATTCTGACCACCAACCGATTTATGTATAAAATGACCGAGCCATTCCCACCATACTCAACTAAAATCTGGTTTAGTGGATTAATTAAAAGGCGAATCTTCACGACTATTTCCTTATTCGTCATCTCACCCACTGCTTGCAGTCATAGGGCTCCTCAAATTGACACATGAATGGAAAACGAATCTTTTCGTTCAGTCCGCCAGTCTCTAATACCCCTTCTTTCCAAACCAATTGAGTGAGCGTCGGCCTTCTGTCTGTCCGCGCGCACGCCTTCCACTAAACTAAATGTCCGAATTTATAATTTGTTTTGTTCTAAACCGGCAACTAGGGCTAAATAGAGGGGGGGGGGGGGGTGGGACACGCCCTAAAGTTCTCCTGGAAATCGGGGAAGACGTACTCTTTTTTTTTCTTGGGTCGTTCTTTATTATTCAGCTTCTTTGGGTTCCCAGATATCTTGAAAGTTTTTCAGTGTTGTTTTGTGAAAGACCTCATTCAATTTTCTATATGCTTTCAGCCAAACTCAACCTCGTCAACATGAGTAGAATCTTTTTTTTTTTTCACAATCCACTTAATTCTCTTTTCAAGAGAATCTTGAAAAGGAGCGGAACCAGGAAAGAAATAGGGCAAAGAATCGATGAATCTAAAAATAATCATGCATTTATGTAACCGTATAAAGTGTGCCTATAATTATTTGACTCGAGATTCTGATTTCAATTTTTGAATGGTCTAGTCCACCCGGAACTTGAAATTTTTCAGATTTTACATATAATATTTCCTTTTGAAGGTTCTTTCACTTTTAGCATACAAATCGAATTCATTTTTTTTTCTAAATTCCAAAAACTAAGTTCAGCGTTCCTGACATCATTGCCTGGGTTTTTTTTCACTTCTAAAAATACCTAGCTGATCTCATACCCTGGTAACTTAACGTGCAACTACTCCTCCACATTTTTTTGTCTGGCTTCCAAACAATTGAAACTTTTGCAAAGAAACTTTGGGATTCCCTTTTTTCAAGTAGCCCTCTTTTTCTATTGTCTTTCAGCTTTTATTGTACATTTTCCTTTTTTTGTTTCCTTCCAAAACATTTTTGAAAACTAATGAAAGAGGAAAAAGTTGTTTAGCTATTGTCAACACCTGACGTACCCAGCTAATTAACATGTCCACTGATGCAAATCGCGTGGCACCAAACCCTCACCATCCCTTATTTTCCGCGTTGTCTCATTATAAACGGTGGTGACAGTGATCGCATGACTTTCTCAAATATTCATGGTTTGCACGTTGTCGTTCGGGCACATTGTCCAATCCGTGCTACAACACAACGGTTATTAGCTTCCTTATCTGCGTCTGTGTCTTAAGATGGGATTTTGAGGGGTGGAGTGTCGTCACTTTCATTCATGGTCAATTGAAAATGTGCATACATCATTTTGTAGCCGAATTAAGACATATGGAAGTTCTCGAAAATTATCTCAGAGTCTTAGTCTCTTATTACCTATTCTATCATTTCTCCTCATATCAGGTCATGGCTGTTCACCTTCTAAAAGCAAGGAATATTTCCATAGTTGCAACGGGCCGGGCCGGGCAGACGACAATTTTCCCGACCCGGCCCGGCCCGTCGGCCCGCCCTTTCTCAGTAAAAAAAATTTCCAATGAAAAATTGGGACATTTTTTTTGAATTAAAAAAGAAAAAAAGTTACATAATTCTTAAAAGTTATCAAAGTAGAAAGTAGTCAAAAAATATATAGTTCTTGATTAAATTTTTGAAAAAATTAAAAAATTTTCAAAAAAAAATTCAAAAAAACTATCTGCTGTACAAACAGCGGGCCGGACGGGCCGGCCCGGAATTTCGCAAGTATGAATATTTCGGATTGTGTCAATTTTGGCGTTTCAAAATGAGTGTAAGAAGCCTAGCTTTCCGAAAGTTCGAAACTTTTTACTTTAAAAGCGCATAGACCTGAACAATTATCGAAAAAATCGCATTTCACCAAATCTAGTAGACACGGAATGTTTAGATTATAAACTAACTATATTTTGCAGCTTATTTGAGACATATTTCCTTTTATGAACAGGACCTCAGAGCCCTTGTTACCTTTTCGTACCTCTCTCATACCAAATCATACGGCTGTTTACACTATCACCCCCCTCCTCCAAATATTTTTTGTGTGGAGCAATTCTGCTTACATAGAAGCATTGACCTTTCCTGATCTCAAACAAAAACTCATGGCCATTCCTACGCCACACAGTGTGTTGCATAAGATTTATGACTCATTCTTTCAACATTTCAACCCCGTCCCCTTTTCTTTACCCTTCGACTTTTGAAAAAGTTTCGAAAAAAAAAAGTTTTTCGTCCCGGAAATTTTGAGACTAGGGCAATGGTTTTCCAATAATGCATGTTCTAGCCTTGACCGCTATCTCTCAAAAGTTCTCTTAGAATTTTTGTTCTTCCCTATTTTTTTTCTTTTTCTGACGAACCGTTCTTGTCGTCCCCAACTTTGTTCCTCTTTTTTTTCAATACTATCTCTCCTTTCTTCTTCCAACCCCCCCCCCTCCCCCCCCTCTCAAAAAAACATTTTTCTATCAAGCATCATTGCTTTCCTTTTCCTACCACTACTTTTTATCATTCGATTCTGTACTACTTGTGTTCTTAACTGACCAAATAATGGAACAGTATTTAAAGTACGTCAGTCCAATGCGTCCGGTGCCGCAGCACCGCGGACATCCGCCACGGAATCGACGGACCAAGAGCTGTACAGGATGTTGCTTCAAATGTCAGCTTTTTGTTTCTTACCTTCTCGTGGTAAGTTAATCCCTTTTTGACACTTTTGACGATGAACTATACTTGCATCGAGCCGGGCTTTTTTCAGAATTTTCAGGGCCCGGGCCCGGCCCGGATTTTCGGAAAAATTGTCTGTCTTTCGAAATTATTTTTGAGGCCAACAATTTCGAGGCCAAAAAAAGGAGAATTTTTCAAGATAGGACCATAAGAATAGTTCCTTCACAAAAAAATTTGAAAAAAATTCTGAAATTTCAAAATTTTTTTCAAATTTAGAGAACACGGGCCGGGCCGGGCCCTGATTTTTCAAATATGCCATAAACTGGTTCCAGTACTGCAAACTTTTTCCGAACTATAAATTTAAAAAAAAAAGGCCCCCATGAATTAAAATTTTAAAATAGAATTTTGATAATTTCAAAGTGTAGCGATAGACGCCATTTAGGTCATAAGATGTTCGTTTGATAGAAAACAGTTTTTATTCCTATCGGAAATTGATAAGAAGTTGGAGTGTAAAGTAATTGGTTCATTTTTCAAAGTGACGAGTAGTGTCAAACTAAGAATGACACCAAATTTCTAACTTTGTTTTAGCACAGTTGTGTACGGAAATATATCATATTTGGACTATTTCCAGTAGAAGACCGTATTTTCTATAATACAAGTTCACTTCATAAGTGAAATTTGAGCTCAATTAGCGTGGGGGGACAGGAGATTTTTCGTAGGATTTTTGTAGCTAGAGTATGCATTTTTTACCGTGACGGTGTACAACGCTTAATGTCACTTTGCGTACAGCGGTCGTCCTCGCCTTTATGAATGCATTTTGGCGCCGGCTGCCTCTTTGCCCGCGTGGCTCAGTCGGTAGCGGCGCCACACCCTCAATCCTTGCCTCCACAAGTTCAACTCCTCGAGGGGCATATTTAAACGGAATTTCGAGAACATTATTTTTTTCATGTCCCCCCCCCCCCCTATAATTCATTAAATATTGGTGATATTATAATAAAGAATTAATCGGTTGAAAAATTTTGAATACCCTTTGGATGAACCAAGATAACTGAACTCAAGATAATTCAATAAAGCGAGATTAGCGGTTTGAGAACGTTGGAATGTTTAATTCCGTGCTCGATTTCGACACTTCTGTAGTTATGCGAAATTGAAAATTAACTCTTACATTTTTTAAAAACAATATTTTTCAGATAATCGGAATCCTCTTTCTCGCGCTCGCCATATGGTTGTATTTCTTCCGCGGTGATCTCATTCCACTCATTCAAAGCCATTTCTACATCTACTCCATATATCTCGCAGTCATCTGTGGAATCGTGAATGTGATAATTGGATTCCTGGTCCACTCGGCGATCAACAGTAAATGTGTTTTGGTTCTGGTAAGCGCTCCGAAATTTAAAAAAAAATGTGGAACACCTCTGAAATTCCAGTACCTTCTAATGTTAATCGCTTCGATGATCATCGAGGGATGTCTGATCTACTTCACCTTCTCCTACCATGCAACTTATGTTCAAGAACTGGAAGTATCCCTACCAAATGATATGCTCAACAGCTACAATAACGATCATAAGATCGCCAAAGCTGTGAACTTTCTCCAGAGAGACGCCAAGTGCTGTGGATCAAATGCCTATAACGACTGGCCAAAACCAGAAGTTGAAGATCATTATCTCCCCTATGCCAAGGTAAAATTTAATTAGTCAGAATACATTGTTCCATGAAACAATTTCAGACTGTGATGCAACGTGTCCAATATGTGCCAGATTCTTGCTGCAAAAGTGCACACCAGCGGAAAGGATGTGCATTGAGTGATAGTCCAAACAACATTTTCTATCGAGTAAGTCGGTCCCACCTGTTTTAAAAAACCTTCCAAAAACGGAAAAAAATACTGACGTCAGTTTTTCTGAACCCTCGACAATAGACTCGCAAAAAACATACTCAAGTATTTTGTGTTCCAGGGATGTTTGCCGTTCCTGAAAGAAGAGGTCTACAACAATCTCAACTTCCTTTTCACTGTCACCGCCGCCTCGTTGGTACTTCATCTTGCCAATTTGCTCTTCGGATGTTGTGCATGCTTCAAGAGTGATGATGATGAGGAGGAGAATCCGTTCAAGGACTATGATCAGGAAATGCATCTGTTTGATTGATCCAAAGTTACTTATATGATGTACATATAGAAGGGACTGAAATATTTCAGAGGTTTGGCTAGTGGAAAGTACCGTAATCAAAAACAAAAAAGCTAAAACTTTTGAAATACTCCTATTCTGAAGTCTCCATCCTAAAATTTCCAATTTTCCTTTCTACTTAGACCCGGTGTTCGGGTTAGTTCTTTTATCACGGTCCATGTTTCTCCGATTTTTTCAAAATTTTCAGTTTTTTGCCTAGCACTATTCATTTTTCTCTCTAGTTTCCTTTTATACAACGATTCAATGACTTTCTTCCCCTTACCTTCAAAAGATTTGCGACATTTTCTCCTGTCGATCTCCGTCCCTCCCACTTTCCATTGCCTTTTTTGTCCTATTTTTACTCTCTCTCTTTCTTTTCAAAATGAGCAAAAACCGTTTCCTTTTCTTCGAGTGTTCTTTTATTTCTCCCCTTTTCATTTTCTTGCGTTTTTTCCACTATTTATAAGTGCTGAAAGAAGAAAGAAAGTGTTTTATGCTCGACCCAAAAAATTTGACAAAAAAAATGTTTTACAAAAAAACCAAATAAAGTGAAAGAATGATTGTTCTAAAAAAGAATTAGCTCCTCATATGAGATAACTTCGCTCGTTGAGCACAAACGATTCGCCCTGGTAGGTTGTATCGTTGCCCATAGCTGGACTTGAGACGGGTGGTGTGAATCTCCGCATCGAGCCGTACTGTGTGCACTCGCACGTCTGAACTGAACGGTTTCATTTCTTGACGAAAAAAAAAATCTCCGAAAAAAAACAGGGGGACAGACCAAAAATGAAAAACATCAGAACAAAAGGGTAGAGCACTTCAAAGGACAAAATATTAGGGAATGAGGACGGACAAGGTGGATTTTAGGATGGTTTTTTCAAACAGATGACAAGAGCGGATGAGGAACATGGACACCACAATAACAGGGAGTACTCACATCACTTAATGCTATAGACTGTTCTCCAGAATGAGAATGGCCCGAATGGTTGGAGTGACCAGAGTGATTCGAGTGGTTAGATGGGTTCGATGAGTAGTTCGAATAGGTGTTGTAGATCGACGGCCGTGGACTTCGCCGTGGTGATGATGAGCTTTTGTGATTGTTCATATGACGTGGAAGCCCGTAGCACCGATCGTCATGATACTGAAATGATTTATTTGTAAATAAATGCTTAAATTTTTAAAGAGAGTCAGGTTTAAGAGCCGGATCTCTTTTAGGAAACTCACCGGTAGCTTATTTAATGAAGAATTGTACTGTGAATATATCAAACACTGCTCCGGACTTTGCCTTTCTGGCATCCTTGGTGGAATGCATCCAATCGAACTCCTCGGCAACCTCCCTCCCGTATGAACCATTCTTGGTATCCCGTTTTCCGAAACTGGACTATGTATGAATTGAACTGGCGCTCGATATCCTATTGGCGATTGCATTTTGTTGTTGTTATACTGTACAAAGCTCGCTGCCGATGACCCAGATCCGTTGCATTTTGGCTCGTGCTCTATTCGCATTTGACTAACTGCTTGCGGTCGTAACGGCTCGGGATATCTACTCGGTGCTGGTTGATTGAGCTGAAAACGCTAATGAAAAAAAGGATTATTTAAAATAATGGGTACCTGATCAAACAGTCTGGAGTCTATGGAACCTTCACGGGCGTGCAGCATGGCTGGTCCCCAGTCGATGACCACTTTTCCTGCTAACACCAATCCAACGACCATTGTGGTGGGTCCGGCTAGCCATACCTAAAGAAACAAGTTGGAATATTGAAGATAGCTTCAGGTATGGATAAGTTTCCTATTAACCAACTGAAATTCTCTCAGTTTTTGAAAATTTATATCTAAAAGTTTTAAAATGTATATTCAGTGGAAAGTAGTCTACTTTGACATCCTTAAAAATCGTCCAGAATTTTTCAATTTGTCTGAAAATTCTAGAATACATATAACAAATAGAGTTTCAAATTTGGCATTAATACAAATTTGTTAATTAGAAACTGTGAAAATAATCTTATCAGAAAAATAGATTTGAATTTTTAGACAAAAATCGACAAATTCAGAAATAATATTTCTGGAATTCCAAGTTGACAGTTTTTTAGTTTATTGACTGAATTTTGAACTTTCTTTTTTCTAATGTGAATTTCATTAAAATTTTGTAATTATTTCAGGATTGATTTAAAATCTTCCCTCACCTTTCCGATCTGTGATTCCTTCTGGAAAATTGCAAAAACAGTGAAAACTAAACCCGTCGTTATAAGTCCGCATGATACGATTCCATAGCTGAAAACACGAATAAAGGATGTTCGAGAAGAGACTCGCAACACAATTCACTTGTCGAAAAGTGATCACTTTTTCGACAACACCCAAAAATCAAATTGTCTGAATTGCATCGGCTCACCTTATCAGATGAATCTGATGTCGATGCAATCTGGTGCAGCAACACATTCGGCCCTGTCTGTGTCAACCGGCGATGAGTTGCTCTAACACGGATGTTCGACTTCTCCACCTCTCAATTGCGCTCATTTATGGACATTGAAGGAAAACTCGAAAATCCAAAAAATCCAATGAGAATTGGATGGTTCCAGACGTATCAAGAGGTTCCAAACGGATGTGGAAGGCGTTCCTTCGGTACTTTTCTGGAAAAAAAAGATGATGATGTCTGTTTTGACACGGACATAGCCGGACAGATCAGAGCAGAACACCCGAAAAAAAAATAACTGGAACCCAAAAAATAAGAAGAGAGGAGAAGGAGTAGTAGAATAGAAGAATGTAAGAAAACAACAATAACAGGAAAATGTGACAAAAAGCGCAGATTTAGCATGAATAAAATATTACAACAGATGCCAGAAGAGAGAAGTGAGTAGAAGAAAATAAGGATCCGCCTAGTAAATGGGAGTAGAGAAGAACAATGGCTTCGCAGGTTTTTGAACCGCTTCTTTTTGAATTCTCTAGGTGCTTTTGTCCTCGTACTCAGATTCTCAAGATGGAAAAGTAGTGATTGGTGTGTACAACACCGGGTATGACGCAAGGAAACGTGGGAAAGTACTTGGGTGCTCATCTACTTTGTCTTCGTATTTCCAACGGAATCGCGTGCAACTAAACTTCAGAAAAAAAAACTTAAAAAGGCAAGAGAAGACCAGAAGAATGTGAAAAAACGAGGAGTAATTATTTTTGGCGTTTTTAGGCTCTACTATTGATTCCTCACCAGACAGAAAACAAAACAAAAAAAAGGTGCCGGCGGGAATTAGGCAATTTGCATCTTATTTCATTTGGGGTGGAGGAGAAATTCTTCACAGTGAAATTCTCTATTTGTTGATTTAGTCTAATAGGGAGCATCATTTGAAATCGGATATGTTTGAAGGAGTGGGAGGGAGAAAAGGAGAAAACAAAAAAAAAAGAAATGAACGAAGGTGGAGAATTGGGAAGAATTCAATTATTATATCGCGTGGAAGTCAGAAAGCTAATCGGAATTCGATGAAAATAGTTTTGACGGTAAACGATTTTGAAAACCTTACTTTCTCTTCCAAATGTTCCAAAAACGCTAAAATTTGAAAAATTGATCAAAAATATATGCAGAATGACCTGCTTCTATGAAAGTTAAATTCCAATCTTTCTAAAATTGAGCTCAATTCAATTGGTTTTTGAAAAAAAAAACGTGGTTGCGGGTTGTTGCGAGAAGAGAGTAGAACAGAAATAGTGTCAGGCTCTCAGCCTTACCAATTTTATTTCCTGTTTTAGACTCCATCACACCCCTCCATATATTCATATTTGCTACTACTGCTGCTTTTTTGCTGCTACTGGATGAACACATTGCATTTTGGTGTTGGGTGCGAAAAGAAAAAAAAATAAGAGAGAAAGACAAAAAGATGGGTTGACAAGAGAATCCCACGGAAAACAAAAGAAAAAAGGTAGGGCGGAGTCGATCGAGATTCGTTCAGAATGATATGGGCGGAGTTACAGTGAGATTATCGGTTGTAATTATGAATAAAAATCGAAAACGATGAAATAAAATTTTATTGTAGATTTACGACACATGTCTTGAAATTAATCGGTTCACATTTAGTTACCGTAATCCTCGTAAATTTTAGTATAGACTATAAAAACTGGGAAATCCAAGAAGAGAAATAATTGGATCATAAAAGTCCAAAATCGGCCAATGCAATTCACTTTCGCTTCTTTTTTTGAAACCTCGAAAAGCTGGCCCCAGGCAAAACACAAAAACGGCGCACCCAAGGCCCCAATAGAGTTTTGGGGCACCCGCAGACACTCTCAGACTGTGTCTGTGTGTATGGAGGAATGTGATTCAAGTATCCTAGGAGGGACGAACAATAGATTTTCTAAAGAAGTAGTTGAGAAGCAGCACAAGTGACTGAGTGTGTGTCTATATGTGTCGAGTTGAAAAACGACGAAAAACGGAATCATGGGACGGGACAAGGAGGCACACGGAGCCCGAGAACGACTCTAAGAACGAATATTTCAGAATCTGGATACTGGAATTTATTAGAACCGCCAGTGTTTGGTTGAGGTTATAGACAACTTTTTTAGCAATTAAAACAATTTCAAAACTGTCAGCCATTTTGAGGTCTTGAGCATTTTTCAGATTTCGTAGAACAAATACAGCGCTCAATTTGAGAATTATTCATTTTTGTTACAGTATTCTAATGAAAAAAAAATTAAATTCAAATCTGAAGAAAACTCATCGATTTGAATCATTCATTTTTTTAACTAGATACTTCGTTAGAGAACGGAATAAATAAGTTATATACTGTAAACACCATAATAGAATAACTCTCCTAATTGTCTGCTTTGAGGCAATTTATCTTTTTTTTATAGAATATATCAAAAAGTAATCAACTGGCAAAATATTTTTGATATTATGATAATTTTTTTTTTCAGTTGACTACTTTTTGATATATTTTACAGGAAATGAGATATATGGGCTCGAAGAAGACGGTTTGAAGGCTTTCTTTTTGAAGTTCCACAATTACCAATCAACATCCTAGCTCAGGATTCCAAAACAACTTTCAAGCAAAAAACTGAAAATTTCGAAAATCTGCGCTGAAAATCCAACCATGACTTCCTTGTAGTTACAGTACCTTTGAACATAGGTTCGCTAAAACTCTACCAGATTAGTCTAGGCATGATAATAAGAAATGTGACAGGAAATTGTCTAAAAATGAAAAAAATAATGTAGACTGAGACCAACACATGGAAACCAGAAACAGAAGACGTCACAGACTGCGCTGCTTTTCCAAGTATCAGATTCCGGTACTTGTCTGAAGCGCATTGCTCAATTCAGAATATTCCAAGACGGGGGACACTCTGGTAGGTTTGTAATAAAAATTGGGTGGTGTTTAAAATAGACAAACATCGAAAAAGCGGCATATCATTTGGAGGGTACAACAATTCGGGGCTACAAATGGGTACAAAGCAATTTAGGGGTACAAAATCTTCAATTCGGGGGTACAAAATACCGTGAAAAAGGCTTACTAGGGAAGGTTGTTTGTGGGGTATGGGACTTCGATATGAGACCTATATCATTCGAAAGCTGAAAATGAGACAATTTCAAATATATATTTCGATTTTGCTGCCGACTTACCAGATTCGAGAAAATCGGGTTGGAAATCTCATTTTTGAGTAAGCAAAGGGGGACCCCATGGTGACTTTTTTCAACAAAAAATTTTTTGTCGAAAAAACATGAAAAACTTTCAGGATCATACTGCGTTTCCTAAAACTGATTAAAATTGTTGTTATATGCTTTTGAAAACTTTTTTGAGTCATTGTTTCAAACCACTTTTGGACTTTTGAGAATATAAAGTTAATGGTTAATAAAAGATTTTGGATGTTTTTTTGATTGCTATTGCAATTTTAGATGTTTCTATACAATCTGACAAAGTTTTAACGCATATTTTTTCAGAAAAAAACATTTGAAAAAAAGTTCCATGGGGTACCCCCTTGACTTTTTTTTTTTGGAAATTTTTGAAATTTTTTTTAATGGCTGTTAAAGTATTAAACTTTTAATAAAGTACAATTTTTCATTATCAAAAAATTTTTTTTTGAAAAAATAGTTTGCGGAACATTTTGAAGTTTTGCGGAACATTTTGAAACAAAGGCCGAAAACAAAAACAAAAACGAACTGAGGACAGAGGGATCGAACCCAACCCTAGTCAGTTACCGTCCTCCCTCTTCACCACTACACCACCAGTCGCTGCTTTCAACTAGTTCTCCAACGCATATAAGAAAGGGGGGAGATCTGGCCCTTAAAATATTCGAATTTCAGCCAAATTTCAAACTCAATTTCCTCGAATCTGGTAAGTCCGCAGCAAAATCTGAATATATATTTGAAAATGTCTCATTCTCAGCTTTCGAATGATATAGGTCTCATATCGAAGTCCCATACCCCACAAACAACCTTCCCTAGTTAGTTTGTACCCCCGAATTGTTGGTTTTGTACCCCTAAATCACGTTGTACACCCTTGTACCCCCGAATTATTGTACCCTCCGAATTATTTGGCCGAAAAAGCAAATTCTCACGGAGAATTGAGACTTTGGTTCGTGGCGAGATGCCTTTGGGGCACCACCGCCACCTTTTTCAACTCCTTCAAGAGAAAAGAACCCATGAAGCCTTCTTTGCTTCCACTTTACTCGGAAAAGGATAAAGAGCACGGCAAATTGGGCGTGAGGTTTTGACACTGACATCATCACGGACCGGCGGGGGACCCAAGAAAAAAGGAAAAAAAAAACGAAATAAGGCGAAAAGGAAACTGGGGTGCGGGTGGGAAAAGAAAAGTCGAAAAAAAATACTAGAAACTGAGTAGGAAGAAGGAAGAATCGCATCTTTTTCTTTGGCCTTTCAACAAAAAAGTTCCTGTGACGACATCGTCTCGGGTGGGGCGTGAAAAACAAAACGGAAGTGCTTAGCAACCATGCCGCACGTCTTTTGAAGCTGCGAAAAAGATGCAACACGACGGCTAGAAACAAAACAAAATGTGAGAAGAGCAAGATGGTAACAATGGGAGATGTGGGAGGAAAGTCTGGAAGACGTCGGGAAGGAGAGTCCAAAAACAAAATCTTTTTTGGAGAAATGTTTTTCAATTGTTCCTGCCATTCATTAGTTAACAGACAGGGTGTTGAAAGTCATGAGGTCGCTTTTCAAAGAATTTGAAATTTTCAAAGGGAGGGGCAGTTGTAGACAAATTATTTTGTGAAAAAAGTATAGTTTAAACGTAAAAGAGTGGAGACAGGAAATTTTTCAGAGCCAGATTTTCGACTGAGCTAGCTCAGCCGGTAGCTACACGACACCTCTGGGACCATAAGTTCAACTCATCGAGAAAATGATATGAACAAAATTTTATGATAATTGTGTTATATGTCCCCATCTTTAAAGACTGATGAAAAATGGCTCCGTGTCATTTTGAAACCGCGTCATTTCGAAACCGCGACACTTCGAAACTGCGAAACTTCAAAACCGGTCACTTCGAAACCGGAAAAAAACATGGTCACGAAAAAATGAAATTGAAAAAAAAACAGAAAATTTTAGCTGGTTTCAAAACGACCGGTTTCAAAATGTCGCGGTTTCCAGGTGACGTGAAGCCTGAAAACTTTGTCAAATAACTGATCGGAAATAGCAGCACAGAAACTGGGCTCATTTGGTCCAGTATTGGCAATTTTAGAATTTTTCAGTTACTGTAGTTACCGTAATCCTACAGTAATCTGACCATGTAAATATACGAAATTGAAGCGCTCGGGTGATCATGGGTAGTCCCCAAAAATGAAAACAAACGGTCAACTAAGGAAAAAGTTATTCAAGGGACAACGCCGGACGGATGGACACACAAACAGAACTATTCCTTTTAGTAAGGAGAAGATAGTTTTACATGGCTTTATATCGAGCTACCAAGGTTAATCAGACAGAATAGTTGCAAAAGAAGTGAGAAGAAGTTTTGATTGATTGCAAAAAACGTATTTTTCTCAATTATCTGAAACATCAATGCAAATATTACTTGTCAATCAAGCAGCCAACCAATAGGGATTTCTGAATCAAACCGAAAAATTCAATTACCCCAAGGAGTGATTCCTCAGCTTAGGACTTAAAAACCAAAAACGATTTCTAACCAGTAATTTTTACCCGACGCCACTTTTGTGAAAACAAACTTTGTATTCACAAAACACGTACACTCGCACCCAATATGGAGTAGCACGATCAGATTACCGGAAGCGTCCAACATAGAATTCTCTCGAATTTTCTATTCTCTCATCAGAATCATGAATATTTGACAACGAAGAGTTGTGATGAAGGAGAAGCAGAAGAAGTAGTGAGAGATTTGTTTCACACTAAAACATAAGTAAAATGAGAAAAGGAGAATGTAAAAGACCAGTACAAAGATGCTAGAATTTCCAACCTCGATTAAAAAACGGAAATCGCAGCTACGGCTCCTCAATTTTCTTCAAAATCTTCTCTTCTAGGTACTACGTGTATTTTTAAGAATTTTTATAATTAGCAGAATTAGAATAAAAAAGAGAATGCGTTGCGGGAATCCCGATGAAGTTGCACATAAGGGAGAAAAAAAGATAACACGAAGTATCCAGAAATAAGGGCTAATCGACTGGAAGGGCGATAAGGCTCATTGAGCTCTAGTGAGAATTTCAGAATTTTTGGGAATTTATGAAAAATGAAAGTAGCCTATTGAGAGATTCATATTTGATTAAAAAGTCAGAAAGAATTTTTTTTGTTGTTTAGAATTTTCAGCAGGTGCGAAAAATCACCTGTAAAACTCTAAGAGTACATGAATATGTTTTAAATTTGTAGAAATCAGTGGGAATTCCACGAACTGCGACAAAATAGAGGCTATGTAAGCCATGAGAAGCTCTAAAAAAATTAAGAAAAAAAATTGACATCACATAATGATTCATTGCTTCTATTTTTAATTTAAAAAAGCACGAAAATTCTAAACCCCACTCATTCTTCAAGCATTGATCGCCACACATAGATTTTTTAAACTTTTCCCGGAAATTTCAATTTTCATTTCTGGGTCAATGACTCCAAGAAACTTCGACTATAGAACGGACCAGACAACCTCACTATAAAAAGTAATAATAAAAATTTTTGGAGAGTAGAAAGGTTGAAAAAAGTGTTTCCCCTCTCTCCGTCTCTGAAACTTTGTTTCTTTGATGATGAAAAAGGAAAAAAAAAAGAAAAAAGAAAATAAAGAAAAGTGGGACCCGATGATTTCAATAGAGAGAAAAAAACCCGGAGGAGAAGAAAAGAGTATAGAAAAAAGGTTGAAGAGGGTCGTCCCAAAGGCAGACAAATTTGGTTTTGAATAATTTGACTCGCCTGTGCATTGCTTTTTGCTACTTTGCAGCTTTTTTCTCTTCTACTCCGTATTTGCTACGTCCCATCAACAATAGGTACATCATGTGGAAAGGGTGTGTGTATGCCGCGTCCCTTTTTTCTTGCTCTTCCGAAATTTCGTCGACCAAACCCACGTCATTTTCTCCCACTTTGGTTTTGTGCTCCGAGTAAAAAAAGAAACTTCCCACCAGAAATCGTTGGTAGTACTGATTTATGCAGAAAGTACCAAGTACCAACCCAGAAATCGAATGTGGCTAATCTTGAACCTTCATTCAGAATTTCAGCCTCTGAGCTGATTCTACATTATCTCGAAAAAGGAAATGATTACAAATATTAGGAGGGAATTGCATGGAAACAACATAAAACGATGCTCTTCGACAGTTTCTTTAATTTAAATTCTTTTTGAGAGAGAAAGAGGAAGAGGTGGTATTGAGTATTGAGAATGTTCCGATTCTTTACAGCTCATCAAGGTATGGGACGAGAGATGTGCTTCCGTAGGCAGACAAGGAGAGCTTTCCATTGACACGAGACAAGGCCTGTAAGCAAAACGTAAATTTGAATGTCAATATTAAATATTGGATTGAAAAAAGCTCATTTTTCAGTTGACTATGTTTTGCATAGTTTCTCTTTTTTGTCTAGCTAATTTTTTACATTTTCGGGGACATTCTGAATAAAATTTCCAATTTCTAAAGAATACAGTGATCGCTAGGATCTCTAGGACCTGTTTCATACAAAATCCAAAATCAAAATTTAAAAAAAATCAGCGAACATCTGAAATTTCACGCTCTCAGAAGCTACGACTATTTTATGTATCTTCCAGCCGCTTTTGTCCACAAATGTTCATTTTTGAAATATCAAGAAAATTGGGCTCTTCTGCACTATATATACGATTCAGGGTTCCACAATTCCACATTCACGTTACCGACATTACGTTCCAAATTTTGTGAACAGAAGAAATGAATTTTCCAGGTTTTCTGATTAAATTTTTCAGAAACTTCATTTACCTGGCTAACGTCTTGAGCAGTAACAGCACGAATGGCGTCAGCGATATCACGTGGGGAAGCTTCAACTCCGGCGAGCACTTGAGTGGCCTTCTCCAAAGCGACTCCGGATGCATTTTGAGCCTCGGCGAGCACCTGAAAATTTTGATTTTAGATGAACATTGGAAATCGTTCTTTTTTCGATCTTTGTGATGATCTTGGGCCTTTTCCTTATCAAACAATTTTTGATTTGAATTCCGGAAATTATTTTCCAAAATTTTTAAATCCCGGACTAATGTTGCCACGCGACCAAGCCTCCGGAAGCACGCATTATTACGCACCACATGGACTTTTGAGTTACATAGGAATCGGGTCAAGGGATCAGTTTTTGTGCACTTCGCGACTTCTTCACACTAGTCTTTGCTCAATGTCCTCCAAGAAGAAAGATACTTCACCCACCTTAACCGCTGCTGTGTTCTTGGCAGTGTCAAGTCCGTTAGCATTAGCAGACTTGATAGCAGCGGCAATAGACTTTGTGACCGCGGTGATGTTAGTGTTGTCAGCAGCAAATTGAACTCCGACAAGTCCAGCGTCTTGGTAGTTGACATTGACAGAGATGGCTTCGGATGTGACCTTCTCGGCAGCGGTCAGAAGGATTTGAGCAACGACGGCTTGGGTGGCAACATCCTTGACGGATGTGATAGCGGATCCTTCTCCGGCGATGGCAACGTAGGTTCTGGCTCCACGTCCGTCTCTGGAAAACAAAGTTTTGAAGAAATGTCATTGAAACAACTTTGGGACATCACTGCTGATGAGATTCAAAGAAATTCCAGTCATGTTTGTAGCTCACAAATTATTGCAGCTCACAAACGAATCATAGATCACTTACTTGCGGACCTCTCCTCCGAAGTACTTGGCTGGTGCGGCCTGAGCGGCAGATCCTTGAGCAAGTGGGAACTGGGAGCTTCCAGCTTGTACGAGGGTGTCATGGTCAACGTTGACTCCAACGAGAACAGCGTCTCCGGCGAGAAGTCTTTGCTCCTGAAATGCTACATTTTGATTGTTGACTCAAAGAATTTTGGCAAGAGCTACTTAGTCAACGCCAGCTGGGCAAGATCCCGATAATAATAAAAAACTCACAGCGAAAGCGGTCAAATCCTTGGCGCTGATGTTGTTGACACTGTAGTTGGAAAGTCCAAGTCCTCCGTTTCTGAAGGCGGCTTGGTGGAGTTGTTCGAAGGTGATAGTGGTTCCGGTGAGGTATGTGGCGTCGGCTGGAAGGGTGTCGTGCTTGACGTCTTCAACTTCCCATGGCTTGAAGGCGTTGTTGCCAAGTTGTCCGAGGAGGGAGAGCGCAATTGGGGATTGATCGCGGACGACGTTGACTTCAATGGCGAACACGTCACGGTTGGAAACTGCGGTCTGGAAAGAATAAGGGTTATTCATAATGAGGTATACCAGCAATTTTCTGGTTTTTTTCTTGTGCAGAGAGAAGCTAAATCAACAATCGCATATGCTGGAGTTTTCTAGGCCATTCGTCCAATCTGTGCAAGACCCTTGCAGGAAACTCTATGTGCCTTTAAATTTGAGCCCGTAAATCGCTTCAAAGTTAAAGGTACATAGAGTTTCCTGCGAGGGTCTCGCACGGATTAGACACATGGCCTAGAAAACTCATGGTCTAATTTCTGCGGCCGCAGCAATTTGCTGGTGGCTCTGAAAAACTCCATAAGATAGAGGGTTTGTGCAATTTTGTATATCCTGAAATTGAAAACTCTCCCAGCAAACTTTTTGCTTCAACGCCGCTAAATTTTCCCGCGAAAATTGAAAAACTAACCAATTGTCCACCATTCTGAGCGGTGTTCCACACAAGAGCCAATCCTGGATAGTTGTTGGCGTCACGTCCTACACTGTTGCGGATCAGATGGGTAAGTCCTTGCTTGTTGGCTGGCTGGTAGCGACTTCCAGCGCGGAAAGCCAACACGATGGACGATGTGGCTCCTAGAAATCAAAACATTTTTGTATTAAATTCGATTTTCAATTTTTGAGGCTCGCAGCTGTACAGTTGTCGATTCGTGTAGGTCACCCACCATTCAACTCAACGCTCGACACACGGAGCCCACTTTCCAATACGGTGGTTCTCTCTTGAACTCCGGCGGTTTTGGCGGCGGCTGAGGCGAAGCGTTTCTGAAAACTCATATTCATTTTGATTTGGTTGCTCATCGTTTTCTTCTTATTCAATCTATGGAACCTCTGGGCAAAAATCGATAAGATAGTGAGAATCGAGAAGATTAGATTTGATGAAATTGTGGTCAGATTTTTTTTTCCTTTTTCTCTGATCAGCTCAAGAAAATAAGATTGAACGATTTTTGCTAGTTTTTAACATTATCTCTTCTTCTTTCTAGTGACAACTGGCTTTTTATCCATTTTCCCATGAAGAATCATTCATTTTTCAAATAATCAGCTTCTATATATTTTAAAACTCACCGCAACTGTGGCCGATGGACGCGAAAGCATTGTTGTAACCCTGAAAAATGAATCATTAACTGATTTTATTGTCTTTAATAAGATTAAACTTGAGAAAAATGGTTAAAAAAACGGTTTTCCAATTGTTTTTCTTATTTTCGAAATTTTTCGAAGGAATTTACGATCAAAATCAGATTTTTTTCTTCTTAGACTATAGAGAAAATTTTTCGCTTCCATGTTCGTTAAGAAATATGAAAAACTTAGTCGAAAAATGGCTTGAAACGGTTAAAAACTGTTGGGCGGCCGATAAAAAATGTCCGTCTCTTCCCAGCGGCGTAGCGGCGGAGCGCGTTTACACACCCCTGCCGTGGCCGAGTTTTCTCTTTCCCGGCCTCCGGTAGCCTATATATGCGAAAAGTGAGGGGAGTGGGGCCAACAAATGCCTGAGAATCGAGGAAAACTGAATGAGTCATTGGGAATGGAACTGTTATAAAATTGACGAAAAACAACAAAAAAACATATGCAAGCATTTTGAAATGCATCATTTAGCAACTGAAAACAATCAAAACATGTTGTCAATGATGAAAATGCCATTTTTCGCTTCGAATTTTTTTATTTTAGGACTATATTTTCTATGACTTGAACATTTATAATTTGTACTCCTAAAATCATTAAATCTTCTGAGAATGTGCAAATTACTGATAACAATCTTCATTTAGAGTTATCATACGTCATTTTCTACACCTCAATTTTTTCAGGAATAAAAAAAAAGAATAAAGTTCAAAAAAATGGAAAAGTCAAAAGTGGTAATCCTTGCTGTCGGGTCTTTCAATCCGCCAACTTTCGGTCATTTGCGCATGTTGGAGGTATTTTCAATTGCCACTCACTTTTCAAAATTTAAATTATTTTCAGGATGCCAAAAACTCGTTGGAATTATCTGGAAAAGAAGTGGTGGAGGGAATTTTGAGTCCAGTCAGTGATGCGTATGGAAAATCGACGTTGATTGGATCTAATCACAGGTAACTTGAAAAATATATATTAGACATTTCCAAATATTTTCAGACTTGCCATGACTGAAGCAGCAGTGAAGAGTTCTGATTGGTTGCGCGCTGACGGTTGGGAATGCTCCCAGCCCGTGTGGACCACTACTCTGAACGTGCTCAAACATCATCAGCAAGAAGTCAAGGTATAAAATCATCATTATCATTTAACTAGACCCAGAGAACATGATATAACATTTTTAGATCCGCCTTGGACCCGACGTTGAGGTACTTCTTATTGTTGGCGGTGACGTGGTGGAAACGTTCGACAAGTACAACGCTGATGGATCGTTGGTTTGGAATCTGGAGGATGTTCAGGAGATTGTGTCGATTGGATTGGTTGTGCAGCCAAGACCAGGGTCGGATCCGGAAGAGACATTGAAGAATTTGGATTTCTTGGGATGGACTCAAAACGTTGTGGGTTGTAGAGTTCGCTAGGGATTCTCTAAATAAAGTACCGGACCAAAATTCGTATCAAATTTTGACATTTTCTGTAAAACATAGTCAACTCTTGAAGTTCTCAAAAAATAGTTCAGAATTTTTTGATTTTTAAAATTTTCGGACTATATTGAACAAAATTAGAGCTTTACTTTTCTAATTGACAAGTCATTTTTAATATTATTGATGGAAAGTTTCAAAAAGATATCTCCATAGTCACCCCAGAAAAATGCCGGCCCATGCGAAGAAGTCAGATTTTTTGAGCTGTTCAGTTTTAGTATTCTGCTGAAATTCAAATCGATGGTAATACTTTTCCCGTGTTCCAGAACGTCATTGCTTCCAATGTCATCAGTTCCACCAGCCTCCGTGCCGCTATCAAAGAGCACCGCTCTATCAAATACACCACTCCGGATGAAGTCATTACCTACATTAAGGAGCACAACCTCTATGAGTAATTTTGTGGTTTTTTATGAGGCCTTTTTGAAACATTTCCATTTTTTTCTGGTATTTTTGAATTATTTTCACTTTTTGGTCAGAAATGTGATGCTTTTCTTTTTTTTTGCCTTTTTTTTTGTATTTTATGTCGGTTGTCCAATTTCAAAAATAATAATCTAATGAATTTGAAAATTTTGGAATTTTAGAAATCAACAAAATCAGAGAAACGTTTCAAGGAACCCTAATTTCTTCTCAGAAAAAAAAATAGACACTCAATTTCTCGCCAATTTACCGGTTCGCGACCTCACTAACCTCTAACCCGTTCCCATTCAACAGAAGCGCCCTTTTCCACTTTTTTGATTCTCACTTCATTTCCCGCTCCGTGTTTCTTCCTCTTCTTCATTTTTGCCCTCCGTTTTTTTTTTCATTAGATGTTCATGTTTGCATTTATTCTCAAATAACTTTCCTCCGTTTCGTCTTTCATTTGGGGGCAGTGTTGTCTCCGATTACTCTTCTTTTCAGGGGCAAAAAGTGCGTGGGCAGATGAGTTAAGACAAAAAAAATTTTGGTCGAGTACAGTAATCCTGTATGGTTTTCAATGGGCAAAGACGGAGATGAGCAAAGCCGAAAAACAAGCAGAAGAAGGGTAATATGTCGTAGAGTGCACTGTACTTTGTTCTAGTCTTTTTTTAATTTGCTAGTTTTGAAAATGTCAAATTGCTAATTTTGAAAAGGACTTAATGTCATTCATGGCATAATAATTTATTCTTGTCTATCAGACTTTTCCTTTCCCTTTGTTTTGCTCTCTCTTATTCTGTTTTTTTTTTCATTTCTAAAGGAAATTATTCTCCCGAGAAAGATGTATGCTAGGCGACGGAAGTCGTATATCCATGCAACCAATTGCGGGAAACAAATAAATCTTTTGGACATTCGGATAGCCTAACAAATAAACACAAATGACCCAAAACCACGGTGTAACATGCTCGACACTCCTCCAGGTTCCTCTTTTTTTTCTTCCTCGAAATTTTGTTCTTCTCATCTATTGAATGTTTTCTGAATCTTTTCTGAACATTGCAAAAGAAAAGTTGATTGAAATATTTTTAGGGGTACACAAGTACAAAATTGTATGGGTTGTTCTATATGAAGAGTCCTCTTCTTTATAAGTATTCTCGACTTTTTCCCCAAAACTTTTTTTCTGGCCTTCTGTATAGGTGAAGACAGTTTGGCCATTCTCCTCGAACCCTTCCCTCCTTGTCTGCTTGGGGGCATTAGTAGAAATTACGCAATCGAGTTTCGATTCCACCCTCTTCGTCGTTTTTTCCAGCTTTCACTTTTCGTGTATACTCAAAACTAAATGGTTTGTTTTCTTTACCGATTACACTGTCCCTTTCTCTTTTCCTTCTGATTTTCTACTACGTTTTTTTCTCAAATCACTAAATTATCTTTGAAAAACCGCCGAACCTGAAAGGCTTGGTCAAGAAGCCATGATACAAAATTGAAAGTTTTATAATACACATATAAAATAATACGGCATGTGCCGACTGACTTACTGGCTTATAATCTGCTTACGTTCTACATGAATTTCGTGACAGTAATGCGGAGGGATTTGAATTTGGTTTGGGTGGCGCGAAAGCAATACTTATTATATGTACTTTACATTAGTTGCTGTAGTAGTTGTATGGGCTGTAAAAGCAGCCGCTCTTGAACACTACTAATACGACCGGTCTGGAGTTTTAAGGGTCCAGTTTTGGTTCTCTTTCCCAAAATTTTATTGAGATTCGGTTTCACTTGGGCAATAAATTATTTGTGGTTGATTAGATTTTTTTCTATTGTTGAGTATATAAATCGCATTACCAACTTTGTAGGCTAGGCTTTCAATGAACTTTGTCTAACCTTGTTTTCTGAGTTTTTTGAAGTTACGGTAGCATTGCCGCTAGTAAGGCGGTACCTCTAACGGTGAGCCCACAAGTTCAAGTCCTCGAGGGGTGCAAATAATCAAAATTTAGACAAAAATAATTTTTCTTGTTACAGTACTTTTAGTGCGGGGACTTCTGGCTACTGCCACCAGCGCTACTTTTCCACTGTACCAATTTTTCGTTACCGGTTTTAAATCGAGTTATTCCCTCTAATAGAAACCCAATCAAACAGTCAACTTTGAGCTTAATTTTCTCAATATTCGTGAAAGATATCATAAAGTTGTTAACTGACAAAACGTATCTCAAGTTATGATAAACATTTTATCTGTTGACCTCTTTATATATCTTCTACAAGAAATGAGAGACATAAGCTCGAAGTTGACGGGTTGGGTGACGTTCTATTAGAGTGTTCACGGTAGATGTTGGCAAGTTTTTGAAACTGCTTTTAGTAATCAAGATAATTGAGCTCAAACTTAATGGTTTGGATGAGTTTCTACTAGAAACAAAGAAATCCAAATTTAATAATGATTCTACCCTTCTAGTAGTTTAATTTAGGAAAACTCGAACCGAGACCATTCTGAGAAACTCAATGCCCAATTTTTGCTTCAATGAACACAATCAGTTTCCTTCTCAATTTCCTCTCGTGACCATATATTCAATTACCTTTTGTATCGTACCGAAAATAAATAAGGAAGGACATACGACAAAAAATGGAGACCTCCATCACCAGGAAGACGAAAAACTTCTGGTAGATGAAAAGTGGACCGGTCAGTGCATGAATGTATGCTAATGTGTGTTTATTTGGCGGAGAAAACAGCGCGCGAACAAGAAAAAAATGAACCTGGAGCGCAATAGGTGTGTATTTGTCATATGGGTGTAAAACACGGAAAGAAAGCGGTTTTTGTCCTAGTCGGAGACCCTGAGCCGGTTGATTATTGTCGTGTTCCGAAGATGAAGACATGTGAACCGTAAAACCCACCACGATTTCTGATGATCAACCCTTTTATGGCTTCGTATTTTTATGTCCCATCTTATAAATAGCTTTTCTCTTCTGGTCTTTTCCGGCTTTCATAGAACAGTTTTGTGATCTTTCTCTTTCCTTCCCTTCAAAAAATCATTTCGACCGTATTCAAACTTTTTGTACAAATCCAAATCGAAATTCAAAAATCATCCGTCCTCCCCCAACCCACTGCCCTCTATCCGATGTCCTATGTCTGATGGCCTAGCACTGATGGCCTAGCAATTATGCGCGACACCATCATAATTATGTATGAAACTGCTGCCAGAACTTTTTTCATGTCCCCCGCTCATTTCCAAGGCGCGTGCGGACGCATCATTCACTAACTGACCCATATCGTTGTCCTGAACATCCTAGCCAGGATGTTATGGGTGTTCGCTTGAATCCAATTCCGCCTGACTGCCTTCATCCAGATCTTTCTCTCCTTATTCCACCTCCTCTCTTCATCAACGTCGTCTTCTTCTAGATTTTCGATTCTTCATCTGATCTTATTTTTCAAGTTTATTTTATATATCTCTATATTTTTTTTCGCCTAATCTGCGCAGGCGGCAACCTTGAATAGGGAAAAACGGATGATTTTTAGGGCACACCCAAAATATTGTCAGTTTTTCCGAGAAATGTCGTAAATTACATGAATGGAATCGATCAGAGTCAAACATCCCGATGTAACGGGTGATGTGATACTAAAAATTGTGATTTTTGTGACATGAGCGTGGGTAGAATAAGAAAAACGTGGGATAAAAAATTCGAAATGTACTCTAGTGCTTCCGTCCTTTTGGATTTGGTTTTATAGTACATAATGTTTGCAACGAATTATTCGAACGGAATAAAAATGGAATTTTTACTATAAAATTTGAACAGTTTTAATATTTTAAAATTTAGCAAAAAATTTTACTACGGTAATGAGCAAATAAATTATATTTTTATTGTTTCGGTGGAAGATAGTCAATTTTGAATTCCTGAAAATCACTTCCAGAATTTTCTATTTGTCTGAAAACTTTAAAATGTACTGAACAGAGTTAGAGCTTCAATTCAACCTTCACAGTTTTTTGCATAAATCCAAAAATGCGAAGTTTGACCTTTTTTCGTCCTAATGACCAGTTTTTTGAAAAATTTCTATTTTTTAGTATGTTCTAAACTTTAAAAATCGGAAAAAAAAGCATAAGAATACTGTAGCAGAGCTGGTAGACTATTTTCCACTGGAAACATGGAAGTATAATTTTTTGACTGGTACTGCACTTGACTATAGAATTCTGATAGAGATATTGTCAAAGTGTTAAACTGCCCCAATTGAAACCACTCAGATGTCCAGAAGCTCTGAAATTTATTTTTGAGAATTCCAAACCCTCATATTACCCATTTTTCGAATTTGATAAAATTAATTATATAGTCCAATAACAAGTCCAAACTCTAAATTTCCTAAAGAAATTAGTAATTCTACTTTTCCGGTAACCTTGCAACATGCTACAGAATCACGCCCTTCTTTCCATATTCCTCCAACTCGTAAATTACCATGTTGGACAGTACGAGGAAAAGAAGATATCTCATTTAGAGACCCACACGTCTTCCGATACAAAGAGATATGGAATAAAATGTCTCCGGGCGGGTGTGCGATGTGTGACCTTCGTCGAAATCCGCCTACTATTGTGAAGCGCGTTTTCATTCATACGCCCAGGTGATATCTTGAGAGATGGCGTTTGATTTCTTCCCTCCTTCCTTCACTCATTCTTATATTCGTTTCTTGACACTTTCAAATGGCAAAAAGGCCTTTCCGTTAACCTTTGTCATCAATCTACCCTCATGATCATATGAAGCTTCTTGTTTCTAGGCATCTCCCCGCAATTCTCGTCTCTTTGGCGGGCCCACCTGCTGATTTTTCAACCTATTCCGCGCCGAAATATTTGCATATCTACCTAGAACTGTCTGTTCCTCTTCTTCATCTCTTTTTTTTCTCCAAATAACCTTACCCAAAAAAAGTTGAAAGTGTTTGCTATAAAAAAAAGCTAGGCGTGAAAAATAATGAACTCTGTTTTACGCTGCCTGTTTGTGTGGCAGCAAAACTGTATGTAATTATATACGGATTAGA